TTAGCTAAGGTTATACTTTTTGGAGCCAATTTGTGTTTGTTATGAATTTTGTTGAAGTATTTTTGTCTGGTGGTTAAAGGAAGTTGTCTATTTCTAACTATTTAAATATGTTTTTGGTAAAGTTAATTATGTTTAATTATCTTTGGGTTTTTGACAGGTGGTCCGATAACATTAATAGTAATCAATTATTTTCATTTGGTCGTAGTGTGTTAAAACGCTTTTCCTTCGTAACTTCGTTTTGTCATACCAAATCGTTTGTTGTATAATCGAACATCACTGGATGTTTTCTCCCCCCCCCCTTTGATTTTAATTCTTCTCTATATTTATTTTAGGTGGGCTTGATATTTTATGGCCTATTGTATTTGATTAATACAATAGACTGGAGCAAATATTAAACGAAGAAAGTAAACCTGGGGGTGAGGTTGATTGAATTGTGTTGTAATTTTTACCGCTACTGATATAGAGATTATGATTCTTTATTTGGTTTCTAGATTTTAGATTATGTTTTTTATTATAAATTTTAGGTATTAGATTTTCTTTTTTTGGTCTATGAATTTTAGATTTTAGATATCGGTTTTTAGATTGATGATTAAATCTCATTGACAATTGAATATTCTTTTAAAAGTTCTAATATAAATACTCAAAACAAAATTTAGTGAAATTATTACTTTCATCAAAATAAATTAAAAAATGTAACCTTTTTATTAATTATATTATATTATAATATTATGTTTTTAATATTTTATGTTGCTTTAATATATTAATATTAGTACTTTCTTATTAAACTGTTGCAGTATCTCATAACTAACCAATCATAAATATTCCGCAAACACCCACACTCGAATACTCTCACAACCGCTACATTTCAACCCATATTTATATATGATATGATATTTGAATTAGAAATAAAAAATGGTTGCCTAAATTGAATAATAATACCATGCATAGTTATGATTCTCTGATTAGAACACTTAACTTTTCTTTCTATTATAATAATTTATTTATTTCATAGTCTCCTTGTTTATTTCTTATCGAATTATTGTGTATTGCGGTATTTTTTTCAGACTTGACAACTATTTACTTTAGTCTGCACTATTAGAATTGAATTACTTTGGTTTATTTTAATTTAAATTCTTTTTTTTTTCCACTTAAGACATCTCTGCTTAATTTTTTTTTTTTAAAATACATCTGTTTATTGTAATAGTAGTGTTTATTGTTGCTATACATTTGACTGTCTCCCAAAATGGAACAAAAACAATAAGAAACCAAAAATCTGGTTAACAAAAAAGTTTCATCACCAGAACATAAATACTAAAATTACCAGGTGTCCCAANTTTTTTTTTTCCACTTAAGACATCTCTGCTTAATTTTTTTTTTTTAAAATACATCTGTTTATTGTAATAGTAGTGTTTATTGTTGCTATACATTTGACTGTCTCCCAAAATGGAACAAAAACAATAAGAAACCAAAAATCTGGTTAACAAAAAAGTTTCATCACCAGAACATAAATACTAAAATTACCAGGTGTCCCAATAATACGTTAACTAATGAAAATCAGAACTGAATAATTAAAAAGTTGCAAGACAACTACATTATTCAGTGAAGGGTAAGAACTTAGGAACCAAAAAGGGAATGGGGAAACTTTTGGCCAGTTTCATTGTCTATTTGTCTCCATAGGTGGAACGATCAAGACCCTTTATTGTTTCTTAAGATTTGGACCCTTGTCACTATCTGTTGTTTCCTCCTTAGTGTTGACCAGTGTGGAGCTTTGGACACTTCTGAACAGCCTTCCATTGTTATTTACAATTGGGGTTGAGTCTACAGAGAGATTAGTAGCCCTCATCATCTGGGTGGTCCTCACCACCATGCAAACAAAGCTTGTGTGAGTCTAGTATTAGGAGATCAAAAAACTAAAATCAAACAAACTAAACCACTGATTATATAAATGATACCATCTCATTCTCGTAGAGAATGAACGTTAGCAATAAATTAATGGGAAGGATTTCAGAGGAGGCTTCTTACTGATATATGTTCGGTTTTAAAGTCAGAAGTCTATTGAGAGTAATAGCTTTCTTCAGAAATGTTGATAACATGCAAATCAGGTCCCACAGTATCAAGCATACCCGAAAGAACCCATAAAGGACTTTCAACAGGCGTATGCAAATAATCAAATCCAATGATGCAAACAAAAGAAGAGAACATACAGTAATTTTCAGATTTTCAAGTGTCTCATGCTGACAATCAGCGTCACCCCAAGAGAAACCAAATAGACCACTGTTAGGATCGAGAACCTCGACGATCTTATTTAATGCAGGAAGAAACTCTGAGAAAATACATCAAAAGAGATTAAAAATGCATTACAAACAAAATAGATTCGTGAAATATAGCAAATAAATAGGAGGAAAATTAAACCATCAAGAGAGAAAGAGAGATACTTCGTTAAAAGGGAAGACACGTGCCAATAAGTAGCAATTCAAACCACCATTCACCACCGACTTAGGATCACGCCGGTAAACTCTGAAACCACTGGAAAATAACAATGCTTCAAGCTAGCCGATGAAATAGCCTTCAAACCAAGCTTCCGTCACCGCGAAAAGACCGAACGTTACACACATACACATCACTTCAAACCCAAAGAGAGGCACAGTCCCAATTGCAAACAAATCAATCTGAAACCATCGGATTGCACTTTCAACTTTAATTCATCTCTAAAAATAATAATTAGCTTGAATATGAATCAAATCAATGGACGAAAGGGGATAAAAGAAAATTATTTTGATGATAAATCAACTCAATTGAAACTAAATCGACCCAATTAAAGCCAGTAGAGAAGAAAAGAGAGCGATGGTCAGAAAGGCCTACTTTATGCAGAAACATCCATCCAACTCTCCATTGATACACTCATCTCACTATCCACTTCACTATCATCTATGGCTTCTCTTTATTCTTCACTGCCTTCATCCTCCTCTCCTCCATCACCACCGCTTTACTCCTCCTACTGTGTTTCTCTCTTTTTTGACGATTGTCTTCTTCCTGGAGGTCTCAGGCTTCCTCATAGGCGAGAGAACTTTGCCATTATTCTCTGCAAACGTTTTTAGAGTTAATATGATGCAAAGAATAAAATGATGAGATTTACAGAATCAAATCTCACCTATTTATATATGTAGATTGACCGACTGGAGGCAAGGTGGGAGCATTGAATGAAGAATCATGGAAGGAGTGGAGGAGATGAATCTAAGAAGAACGTTAATGACACTGATTGAATCCAGATGAGTTCCGTAACGTTGCTAATTTTCCATTGCAAGAGGGGAGAAGTCCTATCGGTTTGACACGACAACGGCATACACCGGAGATTGACCGGAAAATAGACATCCTCCGTAACCTAAATGAAACTCCATTCTTGGTTTAGAATCACAAAGTTCAAGAACGGTCGTAACCGTAAAGATGGTTAGCCACGGTATTGAAGACGTTGAGAAAAAATGGTGGACTCCGATCATGTATATTACAGCCCAAATAACTAAATTATTAAAACCCAAAATTATTGCTCCACCAAGCGGAAAGCAACGAAATTAGACAGGTGGCACATTCAGATTGAAGTAATATCTGACGTGGCATAGGTAAGAGGGAGACAAACATTACTTTATATATATAGATACCACCATTTATATAAAGATATTAACATCTATAGTTTCTGACTTATGTTAAATACAAATAGGATAATATATGCACAAGCTAATATATTGGAAACTGCCGTGGGTTTCAATGTTAATTCACATATATTTGGTTGTGTTGCCATATGTCTAAGAAACTAATGATCGTAAGGTTAAGATGTGATATAGTCAAAATATATCGTTCTATAAATAGTATGAAAATTGTTGTGAACCAAAAATGTAAATTACCAATTCCCATTAAGTACGTTTACATGTTTAAAAATAGAAAATTCATCATCATTCTATAGAAATCTTTATAAATATGTGGTATTCTTTAAAAATAATATAGAACAGAACTAAGCATTCTTGTTAATAACAATCATACATTTTGAAAGAAATTCATGCCGTTTGAAAAATGAAATATAGTTTTTTACTTGTACAGTTACTTGAATGAATTATATTGGCAGAAAAATATAGATAAATGAAATTATATTGGTAAAAGTAATAGATAAATGAAAAATATTGTTTGAAATTTGAACCATATTTGTCAGGTTTCTTAGCATTTACACCCAAAAAATATATTTTCAAGTTGATTAAAAATGAGCTACACATTAGAGGTATCTAATAATGTGTAATACTTACTCCTATGTAAAAGGGAACGTGTTCGAATAGCAACTTCTGTGTACTAGTACGGACTAGTAACGTGGTTGTTTGACTAAATGAATTTCATAGTAACAACAAAACTAATTCTATTATTTGAAATTTCTTTCCCAAAAAAAAAGAAAAAAATTCTTTCCCAAATTTTTGACAAAAGGCCGATATAATTCCTAAAATCACGGAATGGTTTCAAATTTTTTTTCCTTTTTTTTTTTTGTCGACGAAGTTTTTTCTTCAATACTGGAGTGTTTGTTGAATATTATTGCCTAACAGAGTAAGATATATCAAAATTCAAAATATAAATAAGACAAATCACATACAATAAGATCATTGTAGTTGGTCCTACTCCCTAAGAGGACGCGTTCAAATAACATTCCAAACAAAGTCATAACAAGTTTTAACATTATAACTTAATCTTTTTCTTTCATATAACCATAAATTTGCTTATACATAACGTTAGAATCTTAGATTATAACATTTTTACTGATTGAAAGAACTTGTTTCAAGATTGTTCACATTAGCGCATTTATAAAACTGTATCCTCCATTGTTAAAGATCGTTTACATTAGCTCATGTATAAAACTGTATCCTCCATTGTTAATCTCTCTACTAATCATTATGAACATTGAATGATGTGACAACATAGAGGGACTTATAAACAAGAAAGTGGTAAAAAATGCATTGAGACCATTATCACCTGGGAATGTTACCTAGCAATGTGTTTGAAGAAGGTGAGCTCTGTGCACTTAACCAAGGATCTTGAACCGACACTGGTGAGCTATCGTCCTTCTCTTCGACAAAAGCGAGGATATCTTGCTTCTTCGGAGGGACAACGAGTCTTCTGCTTGGTGCTGATGCTTTTCTAACTGATACTGATCTTTCGCTTCCGGTCGGTGAATCCAGAACCATGTTTGGAATCCAACCGCTGAGCCGTATCTGTTCAAGCTCGTCGGCTACTTCAGTCATCGTCGGTCTCATGTCACTGTGGAAGGCTAAGCACCGGAAGGCCAGCTCGGCCACGGTGTGTATTGACGAGAGAGTCCATGCATCTACGTCCACGTCAAGAATCGGGTCTATGATCTCGTCCAGACAGCCTGAGCCTATCTTGTCAACAGCAAAAGCAGCTAAGTTGATTTGTGCATGCGGGCGAGTGAAGTCAACAGCTTTCAACCCTGTTATGATCTCAGCAAGAACGACTCCGAAGCTGTAGACGTCGCTCTTATCAGAGAGATGAAAGCATTGATGATACTGCGGGTCGAGATAGCCGGGGGTTCCTTGAGGAGCTGTTGAAATGTGGGAAGTTTCGGTCATTCCGAGCCTAGAGAGTCCGAAGTCGGCAACTTTGGTGTTGTAATCATAGTCGAGAAGGATGTTGGTGGACTTGATGTCACGGTGATAGATGGGTGGGTTCATTGCAGAGTGGAGATAAGCAATTGCTTTAGCTGTTTGAGTGGCAACAGTGAGACGCACCGTCCATGGAAGACCATCTCCTATCTCTCTTTGTAGATGTTCTGATAAAGTTCCATTTGGCATGAACTCATAGACAAGAACCGGGTCGCCTTGGTCTATACAGCAACCTAAGAGACGTACAAGATTCGGGTGGCTTACTGAGGAAAGAAGCTTGATCTCGTTCATGACTTGGACAACACTTTCTGAATCTCTGTGTTTGAGTCTTTTGATAGCAACCCATTCATCATTTTGGAGCTTCCCTTTATAGACCGTACCATATGCGCCTGTTCCTAGCCTCTGCTTTTCAGAGAAACCATTCGTTGCTTTCTCAACCTCCTTGTAAGGGAAGAAAGCGACATTTGAGTTGCCTGTAGCTTCAGACAAAAGACGCTTTGCGCTTAACAGGCTTCTCAAAGAAGCAGACCGTTTCTGCTTACAAGTGAATAAAATTGCTAAGCCAGCTAGTAAAAATGCTCCACCAATAGTTCCTGTGTACCAAATTAATTAACAGAGTCAAAGATCCACTAATGACCATTATAATGAACATTAAAGCGACAGTTACCTCCTACAACAATAGCAATGTTAGATCTACAATGTCCCCAGCCAAGCCTTGAACCACGGCAGTTCGGTAATGCTACAAAGAGTAAAGAGGAAATCAGTTAGCACAAAAATCTTTGAGAATATCAGTAACTGGAGGCAAGACCATCATTCAAAGAACTAATAATCAATATATATGTCAGTATACAAATATTGTTCCCACCTTAATACATGATTGTTCTCAGCGAATTTAAGTAATTGGAGACACTAATATCATTCAAACAACTAATAATCTATATATATATATATATATATATATATATATATATATATATATATATATATATATATATCAGTATCATTCATACTGGATTCAAAGATGACAGCTTTAACTACTTACTCCAACTTTGATCCCAAAAGAAAAACACAAAGCTTCATTATACATGACAACTCAAAACCATTCCGCCTCAATCCATGATTCTTCTTACTTCTTAATACGCATATTTAAACAAAAAGCGCGGATTTAGCTAACTGGAGGCAAGAACATCACTCAAAGAACTAATTATCTATACTTGGTTCAAAAAACGAGAGCTTTTACTAGTTACTCCAACTATATTCCCAAAAGAACACACAACTTCATCATACACATTGTTCCCACTTCAGTCCCTGATTGAAAAAAAGAAGACTTGAAGTTGACTAACCTTTCTTGCAAGGAGACTTGACGAACCCATCTCCATAATAACCCTCATGGCACGAACACCGATGTCCTACACTTCCATCAGGAGTATCAACCTCCTCACAACCAGCATTAACCGCACAAGTCGAGTTCCCACTTCCACAACCTCCCTTCACCCACCAACCTAACCTAACCCTCTCAAACTCCAACGCTATCCCCAAACTCCCACCAACAGACTCAAACGCCACCGACGAAAACAACAGCTTACACGAGCTCTCCCTCAAATCCTCCATCCTAAAAAACTTCCTCGAACTCAAATTCCCATCTATCGAGAAACAGCTCACGTTTCCCTCAACTCCACAGCTTTTTAGTTTCATCTGCGTCTCGAGAAACCTCTGCTTGATCGAACATCCATCTGTTTGATTCTTGCAATCCTCCATGAGAAAACTGTTCTCCCACGTCGGCGCGTAATGCTCCCCGAAGAGAGGCTTCATAGCTTCAACGCTCCGATCACAATCGTGTGGGACGTGGATGAAGATACTGTCTCCCGTCACGTTCTGGACGGAGAAGACTCCGATCTTAGCTTCCCCCGCCGGGGAGCAATCGAATCTGATCGGACAATTGTGTGAGAATCCGAAAGGATAAGGCAAAATCAATCCGCCGCAACGTTCCGGAGAGGAGGAGGAAGAAGAGACGGATCCTCCGATTACGATCACGATTAAAATCAAATGAGAAATCGCCGTCATCTTCTTAACGGAGAGTAACGTCCCTAACAGACGAAAGAGAGAGAAACTAAGGTTTTAGATTTATCGAAATATTCCTTGGGAGCTTTTACTTCATCTTCTTAGCGTCGATTACGGTTACTGAAAAAGCCTCTCAGCTTCAACTTTCTCTGGTAATGAAGATTTATTGTTGTGGTTATATGTTTCTCCGGAGAAGAACTATATTGCTTATGATCGGAAAATCACATTTCCGTTTGAATTTTCCACCAAATCGCGGAAGAAGCAGAGTTTGATTAAGGACGAAGGAGATGATGCTACGTTGCGGCTAGTCGGTGATTTTTCTTCATTAAAGATGAGGTGAATGACGGATATACCCTTTGTGGTCAGCGAGCAATTAGGAAAAATGTTTGACCGGGACGGACGTAAGCTATTATCTTATTCTTTATTTACTGAGGCAGGCGTGTTTGTGTGTGTGAGTGGCCAAGCATTGAGCATCATTAACCCTAAGAACCAAATTTGGACTCTTAATGATTTTTTAATAATTAATGATGGTTAAGAAGTTTGGGTTAAGAGACTCTTATTTTCTAAGTTCCAATGGTAGGTTTTTAATTTTGGGTTCTTAAGAAAAAAATATGAAACCTTGTGATGAGAAGATAAACATTGTGATGAGAAGATAAACTTAGTGATGAGAAGATAAACATTGTGCTGAGAAGATAAACTTAGGCTATCTTAAAAAACAAAATTATGAAACATTGTGATGAGAAGATAAACATTGGACTCAACAAGTCAGCTAACCAAACCGTCAACCTACTGATTTTCCCGTTCTTTAAGCTATCTCCTAGACACTGCTTTACACAACTAGCAACTGAAAGAGAATAGAAGTGTACCTCGTGCTCGGACAACATCATCAGTGGTCGTCAAATACATGTCCATCTCCATGACCTATCTGAGTGAGCTGATGACTCGTTGCTTGTTCAAGCTATTGATGTCGATACCAACATTTGAGGGATCTCCAATGAATATTTAAGATATGTCATAAAACCAAAGAATATATCACAAGAATATTCACTCGTAGAACTCTCATAAAGCCTAATTAGTAACTCTAAAGCTAGCTCAAGCATTGCATAGCAGACTAACCTCGGCTTCAATGTCACTGAGGACGGCTGCAACGATGCAGAGAGAAAGAAAGTATAGAGAATGAGAGCAACGACGCAGAGAAAGCTGAAAACAAGAGGCACAATAAGCTCAATATCTTCATCTCTCTCCTTCCTCACCACAAACCCACAACCACCACACTCCCTCTTCCTCTGCTCCATCAGAATCTCCTCTTCCCTCACAACCAAAAATAAAACTGATTCAGGATCAAAGACACTCCCTCTTCCTCTGCCCAAGGATCAAAGACACTTCACAGTTCATTAAACATTCGCCTTCAAAAACTCTATTCCCAAAACAACAAAACCCATAAATTTCAAGGGTAAAGCTCAATGAGAATTCATAAAGGACGATACTTTTACAATCGTATTGCACTAATAAGGATCAATTCGAGTGAAAAGAAAAAAAAAGCCCTAATTGTAGCGATCAAGAAGAACAAAAAATAGAGAGCTAACCGTCTCCGATCTTGATTCGGCGGCGTTCTCTTCTTATTCTCCGGACATGGAGACTGAGCGAGATCCAAGTTGATTTAAATTCGGACGCTATTGTTTGCTTTGTGGTTCAGACCGAGAAAAAGCAATAGAGAGAAAGAGAAGAGACGAAGAGAGAAGAGAGAAGAGAAAATACTCAATTTTTGTTTAACGCGTGTGGTTGACACGTGTCCTCTAAAACCCGCCTCTTCCAGCCCTTAACTAAGAGGCACCTCTTGCTTTTATTACATTTTTTCCTTTTTTAAAATTATAATTACCCTAAGAGCTGTCTAAGAGACAGCGTTAATGATGCTCTTACATTTTTGAAAAATGGCTTTGTATTCGCGTGTTTCAAAAGAAAAAGAGTACAAAATTTTATAACTTGAACAAGACTTTTGATAAATATCATATTGTTCTGGTCGTTACATTTTCGTCCACAACAAGAATACATTACGTAACTAAGCAGCTGTTTAGCCGTGCCAACTATTATCTAACCAACAATTTATCGTTTACATACAAGTCTTAATAATTTTGTTTTAAAATTCACTATAAATATATATTTCTTTCATTTTTTGATAAATATATATATATATATATATATATATATATATATATATATATATATATATATCTTCTATTTTATTTTATTTTATATATCATTTTAAGTTTGTGCATACAGATTAATAAAAATTTTAAATTTTCATATTTTCAAAATATAAATATCATTATCTATACACTTAACCATATTTCAATCAATAAAAAGTTGAAGCTGTAATCCATTGTTGCCCAATCGAAATCATGATTAAATCAAAATTATCAATCTAATATCCAATTAGAACTCAATTTAAACCCGACTAGGACCCAAATTGCAAATGTTTTAACCCGGAAAAAAAAACAAATTCCCAATTGCTGTCATTGAAACCAAAAATCTTATAAACTATTAAAATAGGGGAGACGGAAATAATTGCTGTCATTTTCTGAAATGGGTTTATTTCGATTTAATACTGGTTCACCCACATAAATCATTAAATTTGACAATGTGGAGAATATAATTCGATCTTTGTAATCGGGGGGAACCGGGATTCGAAATTTGTTTTTGTGGGGAACAGAACGTGACATAAAATCTGTGGAACTGGTGATATATGATACTTCTCCGGGAAAATAGAGTGTCACCCCATGTTTTTCCATATGCATGTTAATATTTCATGATTTGTGAACAATTGCGATTAGTGCTGTAAAAAAAAACTCTTTTATTTCGTATAATACTTAAAATATGAATGCCCAAATTAATTACAAACATAAATGTTGGAAACATATATATATGTACTTAAAATATTCAATTCTATATTTATTTTCACATGATACTTAAAATATCGAACTCACATACCAACGGGCGCATAATGCTCCACGAAGAGAGGCTTCATGGCTTCAACACTCCGATCACAATCGTGTGGGACGCAGACGAAGATACCGTCTCTCGTCATGTTCTGGACAGAGAAGACTCCGATCTTAGCTTCCCTTGCCGGGGAACAAGTGAATCTGATTGGACAACCGTGTGAGAATCCGAAAGGATAATGCAGAATCAATCCGTCGCATGACTCCGAGAAGAAGGAGAAGAAGAAAAAAAAAAGAGAAATCACCATCATCGTCTTAACGGAGAGTAACCTCCTAATGGTAAACATATACATAACTGATTCCTTTAATAGTGGATGAAGCTATAGAGTCTAAACTAGGGTTTCAGGTTTATCTAAATACCTTTGGAGATTCACTTCATCTTCTGTGCATTGATAACGTTTAATGAAAAGCCTCTCACCTTCAACTTTCTCTGGTAATCAAGATGTATTTTGTGATTATTTGTTTCTCCGGAGAAGAACTATGTTCGTTATGATCAGATAATCACATCTTCGTTTCAATATTTTCCACCTAATCGCGGAAGAAGCAATTTGATTTAATATATATTCCTTAATTTTATTTTATTTATCATTTTAAGTTTGTGCATATAGATTAATCACTACAAGAAAACACGTCCTTTACTAGGACGGGTTTTCCTCGTTAATTCCTAGTAAATGGCCCTTTACTAGGAAATAGCGAGGAAACGTGTTTCGTCGAAAGACGTTCATCGTAAAGGCTATTTTCCTCGTAAAAGCCTAGCTACTTTACGAGGAAAGGTTTCCTCGTAAAACCGTGGAAAAGTTTTCCTTGTAAGCTCCACGTACACTTTCCTCGTAAGAGCATAGTAAACAGTTTCCTCGTAAACTCGTAGTAAACTCTTTACGAGGAACTTGCTAGGAAAGTTTACGACGAATTTACTTCGAAACTTTTACGAGGATTTTACTTCGAAACAGTTTTTTCCTATTTAAAAAAATATTTATAAATTAAAATTATATATATTAAAAAAAATTAAATAAATAAATAAATAAATATTTATAAATAACTAAATAATATACAATTAATAAGTTTTAAAATTCATAATATACAATTAAAAACTAAAAAAAAAAACTAAAAATGATGCTGGTCTTGATCAAATTGGTTCACGAAGTCGTCTCCAGGGTCGTTGGATGCCGGCTGTGACTGAGATGGTGGAGGCTCTTGGGATGGAAGGGCTCCGCTTTCCCGTCTCTGACGCAACACTTCCGCCAGTTGCGGGTTTGTTAGCGCCACAACGTCGAGGATACCTGTGAGCGTACGCACATGAGACTGCGTCGCCTGCAACTCCGTCTGCGTCGTCTGCAACTCCGTCCGTAGGTGCGCATTGTCATCGGCTTGTTGGTGAACATAAGCCGATGTCGCTGCGGGGACATCGTTAACCGAGCCAATCCCGATAACACGGCCCTTTTTCCTCGGAACGACCTGTAAATTAAAATATTAATAACCGA